ATTTTATGATATATTTATGTATTTATTTATTGAATATATTGAGATAATAACTATATAACATAAACAAGTACAGCAAATTATTACAATGGTGATATTATTGTATTTTTATTGAGATATGTATAAACATATCTAATTATATACCTATCTATTTATCTGTATATTTTATATATATTTACAAAGTTTTAAAATATATTTTTTAGATGAATATCTGGGGATCGATAGTAAAATTATCATGAATATATGTATTTTAAAATATATAAATATGATTAAATCCATTAAAAAATTTAATATATAACCAGCAGAAGCAAAAGCAGTTTGCTATAAATATTTCATAAACCAATACCAAAATTTTTATTAATATGCTAAAATGTCATTTAATATAAAGGCTTTTATCTTTAATCTGTAAAATTCTTTCAAGAACTCTTTTGAGTCCAAAGGCCTTTAATAGCCATTAGCATATGAGACAGCTCATTAGCTAATAAAATACATCGCGACCTCTTAATAAAATTCACATAACAATACCAAAGCATAGGCCAATATAAATATATTACCTTTAAGCCATATGCATTTCGCAGCATTAGGCTAAGCATAGGTAAGCTTTAAGCCGTGCTAACAGCCACGAATCACGCATGTATTACTTCATCTGCAATGCCTGCTGCTCACCTGCCACTCACCTTCCATGCGCCTATCTGTATTAAATATGTAGAGGCTCCTGTGTATCCTTACGATGCGGGATATGCGCAAATGAGCCCTTATTTATAGGCCACTCTGGGCATCTAAAAATAAAACACTCGCAAACTTGTTGTTTTAGCCACTTGTTTATATCTATACTCCAGTGTGTCTCTGTGTGTGTGTGTCTGTGTGTGGGTGCGGCTGTCGATGGCATGTAAATAAAACAATAGCCAAATTCGACAAGTGTCTTAACAAATTTCAGTAATTGGCATTCCTCCACCAAACTTTGCCGTTTTTCATTTATTCTTCCGCTGTGCGTTTATAAGAATCACCCGATGTTCATTGTCTTTTTCTGTCTTTAATTCCCTGCTATTTGCAAAGCCTATTGAGTTTTCCAAAGAACTGCTGACTTTTGTTTCACTCTAGATATATCATATATAATCATATACTATTGACAAGAAATAATGGAAATCATATTTAGACTCCGCGTCATCAGGATAGCGTTGCCACATTCATTGAATGTAATATCATTGAAGCTATAGTATTATGTTTTATGTCATACTACTCTCAGACTTATGTTTGCTGGAATAAAATCAAATTAGGTTGCCTGTCAATTTTTTTTTACGAAGAAATACATTAAAATTTGTCGAAACTTGACAAGCGAAATAATCAAGACAAATATTTTGCATTTTCCTATAACATCGGCAGAAATGAGATATATTTATGTATATTCCTTTCTAGGAAAAAGATTAGAGCAATATAAAGAAGCACCAGACTATTTCTTTATATATTAATTTAACAACCAAAAATGTTTAGTTATTAAACTAGTTGAACTCTTGTGAAAGTAAAATTATTTTCTTTAATTGCTTTTAAATTACATTACCCTCATTTAGCTAAGAGAGTATCAGACAGTCGTTTACACCCAACAATTAAGTTCTATATGCTTCATTTTGAATTTTGTTGCAGTCAAGTAACATTTTGTTTGATTCAGTTGCCTGATTTAACATTTAACATTTTAAGATGCCGAACCATAAATATAAAAATTCCTTAAATATAAAAATATAAGGGCAACTGGTTTTCAAGCACTAAATCCAATTTTCTCCAATATTACATAAATGCTCGAAATAATTCAATTTTATATAAATTGTTTTACATATTCTCTTGCATATATTTCTACTTCAAGTGCTTCATTTAAAAACCAAAAATTTATCGCATTCAAGCAAATATTTCATCTAATTAAACAGTATTATGTGGTTTATAGAAATTTGCCCATTATTTTTTCAAAGTTAAAACTTGCCATTATACAAGAGGGAACAAGCGGGCTTACTAGGGGAAAAACTTGAAAAGTTTTGCTAATGACAGCCGAGCCAAGCAGAACTCAGTTGAATATCTGGGCGATAACGTGTTTATCTATGTGTGTGTGTATGTGTGTGTGTGTATGTGAGTGTGTGCGTCTATCTATATGTTTGTTTGTTTGTTTGTATAGATTATCATAGCATATCACACACATCGCCAAGGTCATGTTCACAAAAACTTTTGCATATGCAAAACCAGACTGAAAAGAAAAGTGCAAAGCGTTTGCCGTTGGAAAACTCAAGGCAACTTATCCAAAGCTTTTCATGCTAGCACACACCCACCCACACAGACTCAGTCACCCACTCGTACACCCCATACACTCACACAGACACACACACTCTGCTTGTAATCAGCTTATCACTAAGCATTCAGTCCACGGCGGACCCTAGTGTTGAGCTCTGCATTTATGCAATTAAAGCGCTAAATCAACTTAAATCAGATAGCAGACGTTCCCCCCTTTCGCTTAGTAACATCCGATCTCTGGCCACACTGTGCCTGACGCCGCTCATCAAGCTGACCCACTGCATAAATTAATATCTGCCACTAAAAAAAAAAAAGAAAAGCAACATTTAAAGCTTACAGAAATCAAGGTGAGCTTCAGGTTCAGCTGCAAGGCCTCCGAAAGCCGAGCGGTTCGCGCGCGCCATGAAATACGAGGCAAACAATTTTTTGGCCTGAATGAAAATGTTTTTTCCCTTCTGGTTTCCTCTAGCTTTCCTTCCCACTTTTTTTTGCGAATCGCGTGCGCGCAGTTTATGAGCCGGTTATTTTGATTAATGCTTTTCCAGCGACTGCCACTGCGACTGCGATGGCAAACGCCGACAGGGGCAGAAGGCACGCAGCAAGAGGTTGAGCGGATAAATGTGTCAGGCGCTGAAGCCGGCAAAAATACGGCGGAACAATTATGTCCAATTTATAGACTAGCCTAAGATTAGCCGAGATTCAGCTGGCAGCGGGACAAAGATGCTTAGCTATTCGCAGATAAATCAAATGACTCGAGTCAGTTGCTGTTGTTGATGATGTTGCAACTGCTCAATTTGAGCAATAAAATCTTGAGATGAGTCTTGACGTTGACTAACTGAATTGGATTGAAAGTGTTGTTTCACATATGCTAAGCAATTGGAATTGACTTTGGTTTGATTAATTTCCTATATATGTATGCTGACTGAGTAAATTTTCTGGAGGGTATAAATGGAAGCAATAGTACTCTTAGAAAGTTGAACTTCGTAGAAGTAGATGCACACCTACACATCTATCACCCACACATAAGCACATAAGCACATAAGCACTGACAAATTAGTTATTGAGAGTCCAGTCTAGTTATATTTATAGCCCTAATTAAATTAACAGAGCAATAATTTTCTCTCTCTTGCGGGATTGCAAAATGATATATAAAAGAGAACATTTGCATAGCTTCTACCACATTGACGAAATTAGCAAGCATATCGAGACAAAGGCCTCAGTAGCCAGTGCTTTGATATAAAAATTAAATTAATTTTAAATTTTATATCAACACTTACTTCTAAATAAATAAATAACATTCATATATAGCTTTCCTCAATTATAAATAAGAATTGGATATGGATATGCATTTAGCATTTGACGCTCTAATCTGGACAGAACGAATAGTCGCACGAATGTACAACCCTATAAAGAGACTGCCAGGCACAGAGACAGATAAATCTACAAAATAGCAACACAACTGCATAGACAAAGCAACATTAACTTTACTAATCATACTTATCAAGTTTACGCATACAGATATATGCTTTATTAAGTAGGTCACGCCTATTGCTGCTTTTTGCTGCCTTTTGCACACATTAGCATAATTACATTATACATATTTAATAGACTCAAAGTTCTGCTCTAAATATACTTCTTATCTGCGGTGCACATAAGAAGACGGATTAAAAGTAATTTGAATAACTCGTCATAAAACGAAAAGCTGAGTACTCTAAGCCTACTCCAAAGAAGAGAATGCTAATACTCAGATTAAAGTCGTATCCATAGCTACTATATTGCTTATAAGCAAAGCAAAGATAATGATTTAACACTTATTCAATATACTCCCATTAGTAACCCTGCCTTCATTTGAGACTAAGTAAAACATTTAAGTGACAAGATCGCTTCTCTTTTTACATTTCTTACTCAGTATGAGTATGACATTTAACCACTTGCAGCACATCTCACTCATTTCTCTTACCCACTCGCATATCAGGCAAGTTGGCCTTCAAAATGTCCAGTTGCTGTCGTAACATCTTTTATTACAAGACTATCGACCGTAGCTCAAGCTAAGTAGCTCGCTGTATTATTTTACAGTTGGCATTTTACTTGAGCTGGCATTTTTAATTAGTTAGCTTCCTCCCGTTAAAGGAGTCCAACAGCATATTGTCAGCTAAATTCTTAATGGCTTTCTGACAAGACCCTTTTCCGAAATCTTTGTTAATTCCCTTCTTTTCTTCATACTCTTTCAATTAGAGTCAACTGATTAAATCCGCCTTTGAGAGTTTTTCACTTCTATTGTTAACTTTGCTATTCTTAAATGTTTTCTGAAAACTTGTAAATGATTTTTTCCTGGGCTGAGTCCGATTTGCTGTTTTGAAATAAATCATGCAAAATAAATATGAACTTAATGAAATATCTAAATATGTAGAGCTACTATAAATGTACTTTAATATATTTATTTATATTTAATAATTTACTTCTAATCTAAAGTATCATGCAAAATAAATATGAATTTAAGGAAACATCTAAATATGTAGAGCTACTATAAATGCTTTAATATATGTACATATATATTTCTATTTAATAATTTACTTCTTATCTAAAGTACCCAATTATATCAGCTCTATATAATGAGTCGTGCTTGCTGCAACATAATATTTGTTTATCGTTAAGCTGTCAAAAATTGTCAACGAAATGAAATCAAATTTTTCACGCACAACTGAATTTCTCATGTCCTTGCAGCACACACAGCGTTCAGTGAACCGGAGAGAGACAGAGAGAGAGAGGGACAGAGAGAGAGACCAAGGGTGAACAATATTACAAGGCAGCAGCCACACACAACAGGAAGAGAACGCGAACGTGGACAAGGACAACGACAACAACAACAACAACAAGAACGAGAACGCTGCGTGGCAGTGTTAGCAGGATGTCAAAATGCCATCGGCAGATCAAATCTTGTTCATAAATGTCACCACAACGGTGGCCGCGGCTGCGTTGACAGCTGCCGCAGCCGTCAACAGCACGCCAGAGGCATCAACAACAGCAGCAGCAAGCAACGGACGCAGTGTTGAGACAGCAGCAGCAGCATCAACAGCAACAGTGGCATCCACAACAACAGCAGCGCTGGCGGCCAATCTGTCTGGTTCGCTGGTGGACAGCTTAACAACAACGGCAACAACAACAGCAACTGCAACAGCCACAGCAATTGTCGAGTCAACGAACGATTGCAGCGCTCTGGCCGTAGAGAAGCTGCACGGCAGCTTCCTCGGCGTGCAGCTGGCGGTGCCGGAGTGGGAGGCGCTGCTCACAGCGCTGGTTCTCTCCATCATCATAGTGCTGACGATCATTGGCAACATTCTGGTCATACTGAGCGTCTTCACCTACAAGCCGTTGCGCATCGTCCAGAACTTCTTTATCGTGTCCCTGGCCGTGGCCGATTTGACGGTCGCATTGCTCGTGCTGCCACTCAATGTGGCCTACTCGATACTGGGACGCTGGGAGTTCGGCATACACCTGTGCAAGCTGTGGCTCACCTGCGATGTCCTCTGCTGCACCTCGTCCATACTGAATCTTTGTGCCATTGCACTGGATCGCTACTGGGCCATCACCGACCCGATCAACTATGCCCAGAAGCGAACCGTGGGCCGTGTGCTGCTCCTCATCTCGGGCGTCTGGCTGCTGTCGCTGTTGATCAGCAGCCCGCCCCTGATTGGCTGGAATGACTGGCCGGATGAGTTCACCAGCGCCACGCCCTGTGAGCTAACCTCGCAGCGCGGCTATGTCATCTACTCCTCGCTGGGCTCCTTCTTCATACCGCTGATCATCATGACCATCGTCTACATCGAGATCTTTGTGGCCACGCGACGCCGCCTGCGTGAGCGTGCCAAGGCCAACAAGCTGAATACGATCGCATTGAAGAACACCGATCTGGAGGCCATCAATGCCGGCAACGTGGCCGTGGGCGGCAGCTCGACCAGCTCCAAGGCGCGTGCTCTGGGCAGCCTCTGCGGCAGTTGGCTGTGCTGCGGCCGCGATCGCGCCAACTTTGCCGCGCCCATGATTCACAACGATCAGGAGAGTCTGAGCAGCGAGACACACGCCCAGCCAGAGGGCAACAATGAGTCACAGCAGCAACAGCAGCAACATGTTGTGGTGTTGGTCAAGAAGTCGCGACGTGCCAAGATCAAGGACTCCATCAAGCATGGCAAGGCGCGAGGCAATCGACGTTCGCAGTCATCGTCGTCGGCCTGCGAGCCGCACGGCGAGCAACAGTTGCTGCCACAAGGCAACAGCAATAATGCAGCAGGCAAATCGGATCCCGAGATAAGCACAGAGAGCGGCAGTGATCCCAAAGGCTGCATACAGGTGGGTTAGCTATGGTTAGATAGGGCTTAGATGCAGAAGTAGAGGCTGAGAGATTTAGACTGTAGTAATATTAAATTATTTCTTTAATGAAAAATTTCTAAAAATATTTTAATAAATATTCAAGTTTTTGGTTTAACGATGCCATTAAATTTGCAATTAAAATGGTCACCATTCTGAAATTTAATATTTTTATTTGAAAGGTCACAGTCTGAAGTAGACTCCAAATTGGGGCAGTCTGTTCCTTCGCTTACAACCATAAAATATTGGGTGACACAGCTTAAACGAACTTTCAAGGCGAATACCATAATAGTCGACAAATTGAGCTGGCTACGCCCAACACGGTTAAGAAACCCCGCAAAATGGTTTTAGATGTTAGCCGGCTGAAGCTGCGTGAGCCAGATGAAATTATTGGCAAATGCCTTTAGATTTATAGCTGCCTTTCAATTAAAAAAATTAAGAAAAATTTGGCGATTCGCTTAGTTAGTTACTTAATTAGAATCGTTAGTCAATTTGCTATTTGTTTAGGCTAAAATAGATTGCAAAGAAAATATGCACCAAAAAATAAAAACTAAAAATAAATTAATTAATTAATTTAATTAAATTAAATAACAATAATATTCAAGTTTGAAAAAGAAATCGCTTGATGATAGAAGACTTGCAGACAATGAAGGGCTGGAATCTGCGGTAATTGACTATTTCAATGAGCCAGAAGATTTTTATCATAAACAGAATATCGAAGCAATAGAAAATGGCTTCGAAAACACAATTTATAAAATTTATTTTATAAAACACAATTTATATTGCTAGACTTTCCTTTTTTATATCAGATATTTCAGAAAACACCCTCGTATATAATATGAGCTATACATATATATATATACATATATACTCTATCCATGCAAATTTCCACCACATTTCAGGTGTGCGTAACCCAAACTGAGGAGCAAACCTCGCTGAAGCTGACGCCGCCGCAGTCGTCGTCAACAGGTGTCGCTGCAGCCAGCGCATTGCAGAAGAAGCCGAGCACCGTGAATCAGTTCATTGAGGAGAAACAGAAGATCTCGTTGTCCAAGGAGCGAAGGGCTGCCCGCACGCTGGGCATCATCATGGGCGTGTTTGTCATCTGCTGGCTGCCCTTCTTTCTCATGTATGTGATTCTGCCGTTCTGCCAGAGCTGCTGTCCCACAAACAAGTTCAAGAACTTCATCACCTGGCTGGGCTACATCAATTCCGGCCTCAATCCGGTCATCTATACGATTTTCAATCTGGACTATAGACGCGCATTCAAAAGACTTCTGGGCATCAAGTGATATGACAGCTCGGGCCGAGCGCAAGTGTGCGATAAGCGAGAGAGCGTCAGTCAAAGTGTGTGCCAAAGGTTGATATGATTCGCGAATGTGTGGAAACACCTGACAAACTCTTACACTCAAATATGGTTTCACTCATTTGTAAAAAGATCTCAAAGTTTCATTTAAAGCAATTTATATGTACTAAATAAGAAAGTTACAAATAATTGAGAAAGAAACCAAAATATCATAAAGCAATTTCCAATAGCTTATAAAAAATTTCTTGTTAGAAAAGCTAATTCTAGTTCTAAAAATCTCAAACTATTTTTTATTTTCACTATTTCAACTTATAAAATTAATTTTTTGTCGGGTGACATCAGCTCGAGATTAGTTTGCATCACTTTTGTCGGGTGTTTCGGGCTTTTAGAAATAAATGTAAACTGTTAAATATACTCATGAAACAAAAAATAAAAAATATAAAAAAATTTTATGTGTGCAAGCGCTATTAAAAAAAAGAAAAAAAAATCAGCATTCAAATTAGAGAAAAAAATATGATACAAATAAAATTAAAAACAAAATGAAAAACTAATTGAATTTAACTAAATGTTTAGGCACGAGTTTGTTGCAAAACTTTCATGTTTCACTAGTCGGCGCATAAATTTAATATATATAAAATATATACAT